CCCCACAATTAGCCCTTTCCAAAAAAAAAAAAGAAACGAAAGAAAGAGTGAAAAACATCTGCTTGAAGTAGTATCTAGTATCTACTGCTAGCCACAAACAATCCACATGTGGATTGCAAGCCAATTGGCAAAGCATATCACCATATAGATATAGCAATCCGAATAGTGATATTCTTCGCCATTGAGACCGCAATAATGGTGGGGAGAAGAACCTCCTGAGTTATGAGAGGCCGTATATGACCAAAGGTCAATCGGACTACAATGTCATCATCGTCACCATCTTCATCACCATCGTCGTCATCATCATCATCATCATCATCATCATCATCGATCGTCATCAATCATCATCAATGATCGCCATCATCATCATCATCATCATCATCATCATCATCATCATATTCATCATCATCATCATCATCATCATCATCATCATTTTATGAACGATCATCAATCATCAACGTCAAATAGTCAATCATCATCAATACCATCATCAATCGTCAATAGCCAATTATCATCATCCTCGTCATCATAATCATCATCATTTTGTGAACCATCATCAATCGTCAATAGTCAATCATCATGGCTCACCATCAATCATCATCATCATCAGCCATTAGCCATCAACCATCAATCATCATCCATTGTCAATCATATTATCAATCATCATCAATCATCTGCAACATCACCACCATCATCATCATCATCATCATCATCATCATCATCATCATCATCAAGGCATGAAGCATGAGCAGTCAGTTTTGCTACTTCACAGCACCACTGATCGATCAGTTAAACTTTCCTAATCAGGCACTCTACCGCCGAGCAAGGTGTGAAATCCCTCAAAAATCCCAGCCCGTCTGGATACGACTGACCGTCTGGATACGACTGACACATGCTTTGTGAAAGAATACATCATACATCGTTCACTTTGCGTGAAACAAACGAAGAAAAAAGCACACATCGCAAAGCACACTAAAACCGCTCCTCGCCTTTTGCTGTCCAGTACCTGCCATCAATCACAAGGAATGACCTCTGCAACACCTGACCAGCCACTAGCTCAACCTTTATGTTTTCTGTTTTCTTTTTTTTCTTTTTTATCCAGACTGGACTTCTCGCTTATGCAAACTTTGGACATCAACTCCACTCTTTCCCCAAGCACAACGTGAATACTAAGGGCCAACCAGGCACCACTGGTACTATGTTCATGCCCGAAAAGCACGAACCTGACCGCTACTACGACCGGGTTCATACTTCCCAAACATGAACATACCACCAGTGGCAACTTCCCCTAACTACGTTGATGATAACACCACATCTCACTAAACCCTAAACCTAACTCCCCTAAACCATAAAAACCCCAAACCCTCAACCTTAAACCACTACAGTAGTACACAGCCCCCCCCATCCTTGCAGTCCGAAACTTGTCGCCACAAGAAAACGAGGCCAAAATGTCAAACGCTGGGCCTGCCGTTGATAAATTGGATCGGCGATCGCATTTTCGTTTCGCGCTTCCAGAGTTCGTGGTGTCAGGTCCGCAGCCCAGGTGCCCATGTACTGGTGGTCTAAACCGCCAGTACACGGCCCCAGCCTTGCTGAAAAGAAAACTCGTCGCCTACAAAATTTTCGGAGGCCCAGCGCCGTAGATAAATCGAATCGGCGGCGGGCGGCCTCCAAAAAGGGCCCGGGGCTGATACCGGGATGTACTTGTGCTTTATTTAAGCCCTAAACCCTAAGCCGGTCAAGCGACCACTGATGCTGATGTCAATCCGAGCCTGCAGCTGTATACACAATGGGTCACCGGCAGGACCTCAGAGAGCAGAGTACAGACGACCGGCGATATATATCGCCATCGGCAATCATCCTGCCAACAGCAGCTGCAGGCGACCACCAGAATCAGTTTCCGTGGTCGCTGGCAGGATCACGGAACACAGGGGATCCATGACCACTAACAACCCACTCAGATATAGTGTTTCAGGATCATGTCAACGACGCACGGTGTATATGGCTGCTGGTGGCGACCAGGATCGCAGTCAGTGATCGCTGACAGGACCGTGGAGCACAGCAGACCATGGAGCATTGACAACTCACTGAGATAAACATGCTGGGTTCCATTATCCTGCCAACAGCGCACTCTGTATCTGGCTGCAGGCAGAGACCAGGATCGGGTTCAACGGTCTACCCCAATTCCTTGAAGAGGGGTTAAACCACCAGAGTCTATCCATGCCACACTTTTTTCTGATGGTGATATTGATAGTCGCGTACTAAAAACAAAAACTGATATCGGCGCAGGTATGAGAAAAGAAAAGGGCCAGCAGCCGAGATCAGTTGGTTTTGCACACAAGTGGCACTCGGGAGGTCGTGGGTTCAATTCCCCACGACCGCCTGCAGCGTGCTCGGTGTTCACCAGCTGAGATAGTTGGCTTGCCCCCCGGGGTCCTGGGTTTCCCAAAGGCCTTCGCCCCTGCCATTCCTCGCTGGGGGTTGGCTCCTGGGTTTCCCAAAGGCCTTCGCCCCTGCCATTCCTCGCTGGGGGTTGGCTCCTAGGTCTGGTAGATTTCGGTTGCTCCCTGTGGATTTGGGTTGGCCATTCCTGGTGTGCTCAGTCATATACATCGTCAAACAGAACTGCCTAGTAAACCGTAGGCAGACAGGGAAGAGAGGACAACAAACGAGTGGCTGTGACAAACTGTTTCGTCGGAGTTTCATGGACTCGTCAGGAGGCAGAGTCCCCTATCTGATTACACTGTAAGTGATAATCCACCTTAACCCCGGTTGTGGTTAGGCATTAACCACTGCCCAACAGCTGATACCTTGAGGTGGGCACCAGCCAGCGCCCTCAAGGTATATGTGACGAAAATCAAAGCAGACTATCACCACTCACTCACACCAGATGGAAAGCCCTACAGACTGCAGGTTCACCCCCCATCCATCACAAGCCAGCAAAACACGCGCGGAACCAAGACAGTGTGAGGCATGCTTGAGAGAAGAATATAGCTTTGTTTTCATTTATTTATAATTAAAAAAAAAAAAAAAAAGAACAGACACCATGTCTTTTCCATCCAGCAGGCTCAATCCGCAATTCCGTGCCGGTTAACCCGCTGCATCGGAACACGATACCTGGGAGACGTACTGGTGGTTTAAACCCTAAGCCGTCAACTTGGGAGGCTTTAACCCACAACTGCCCACTTGAAGGCTTAAACCCTAAATTGACAACTAGTGGCCTTTGCAGCCCGATACCGTTATCATAGGAATGAATATAGCCCAGGAGGAGCCTTAGTTGAGGGCCTTGAGGCATTTTTTCAAGGATTCCAGACTCTTATGGCTACACCCTCGGAACCCTCGAAGAATTGGGGCGCTATGGTTAATTTCCAAGGGCCCTATGACTGGGTCATTGGAAAATGGGTAACTGGGGTTGATCGGCCTTATGACTGGGCCTCTGGAACTCATGAAAAATGGGGTCCATGGGGTGAATGAGCTCAATGGGGTTAACGGGGTCCATGGGGATAATGGGGTCAATGGTTTTGATGGGGTTAATGAGGTCCATGGGGTTAGTGGGGTTAATGGGGTTAATGGGACTAATGGGGTTGACAGAGTTAATGATGTTAATGGGGTTAATGGGGTTAATGGGGTAAATGGGGGTTTATGGGGGGTTAATCGGCTTGGTGGGGCTGATGGGGTTAAAACCACCAGTTCCTTTCCCAGGTATTTTGTTAATCCACCGCAATAACAGGGGCTCGGTCTACAGGAAGGAAAAGCTGGCGGTGCCGGGCAAAAAAGAAAGCATTTTGCACCCGAGCCGGTTTGCTTTTTTTCTTTGGTGCAAAGAGAAAAAGCACGAGGCAGGAAACAGATGCTCAGAGAGAACTGGTGGTTTAATGGGGCAAATTTCCAAAGACCCTATGACTGGGTATTGGGACTTGTGAAAAATGGCCTCCTTAAGTTGGGCTGAGCTGAGCTGCTGAGCATCTTTTCAGGGGTTCTAGGGCACTATGGAATAAATACTTGACCCCATTTTTTCAGGCACTTCATGAGAGTTGCCGGCATTTCACAAATCTGCCATAAGTCCGCCGACATGAAATGCCCAGCAGATCCTTTTTTTGCCCAAATGCTTCTCAAAAGCAACTACCCATGAAGAGCTGAACTAGAGCACAATAACAATAAAAAAGGAAAGAAAACTCAGACCGTTCGACTTCACAACACAATCACTGGCATAATCACTGATTGTCTTCTTTTTTTTTTTTTTTTTTTTTTTTTTAATCACTGATTGTCAACCAGGGTACAACCGCTACTTACCCAATCATCAGTCAGCTTCTGAATTCCCCACCCCCTTCTTCCCCTCCTCACCCAAACCACAAAATACCCCCACAAAATACCCCCGCAAAATACCCCCGCAAAATACCCACTTGGCATCCAGGAAGCAGCCAGTACTCACCCAATTAGGAATGGCATACCAATCATAAGTCACCTTTAAAAAAACCAGCATATTGGCCCTACTCTTCTGGAACGGCCCATAACCAAAAGTCAACCCTGGTGGCTACGGTCGTTAAGAGGGTTAAACGGGTGTAGAGGGGGGTGTAGGGGCTTATTAGAGGGGCTTAAAGGGCCCCACCCACACCTATACACATGCTGGTGGGTCCTTAACAGAGAATCGCATTTTGTGGCAAATTAACCCCACCCCTAACCTCCCCAACCCCCTTCTTCTCCTTCTTACCCAAACCACAACATACACCCATAAAATACCTCCACAAAATACCCACTTGGCATTCAGGAACCCCTCCGTCCCCTTCCCTTGGATGCATCCAACTTAACATGCATCCAAGGTTGACTACAGTCTTCCCCCGAATACAACGCACGGTCATTATCGCCGAATTTGGTCTATCTTTCAGTCTAAATTCAGCTATAATGACCGTACGTTGTATTCGGGGGAAGACTGTAGCATTCAGGTAGAGCAGCATTCACCCGCCGACCAGATTCATACAACTTGGAAAAACGGTCGAGTGGCAGTTCAGATTCAAAATCTGCACATGCCATCACACCATCAAGTCCCGCAACTAAGCAGTCAAGTAACAGTTGAGATTCGGCCCTGGTCTTTTCTCGAGATGCACACTGGACCTACCATAGGTTTGTATGATATCGCCACTGAGTCCACCACCGAACCTATAGGCTCGTCCACAGTCCACCAGAGACTCAAGAAAAGAGAGCTGGTTTAACCCCAGCTTAACACAATCAACGCTCAACCGATTGTTTTCATCACCTCACGGCCTCCTTTCTTTTCTCTGTCCTTTTCCTGTGTCCCCCCC